CCGGGCCGCCGCAGTGAGAAGCCAGCGACTAACCGCTTGAGCTATGGCGCGGCCTCAAAATTACTTTACTACTGGCGGTTTACTACCAGTCAGTTCGTCTTGGCGCCAAGCTACTCGAGATCACGACCAGAGTTTCTTTGCACCTGAACCCATGCGGCTATAATCCTTTTATAACATCTTCTCTGACGAGAGTCTTAACAACTCAGAGTCAGAGTCAGAGTCAGAGTCAGAGTCAGAATTACTTTACGACTTGCGGGTTACCGCCAATCATTTCGTCTTGGGGACAAGCCCCTTAAGACTCATGAACAGTAATTTTCGTTTCAAACTGAACACCAGCTGTAGTCCCTATGTAATATCCTCTCTGACGAGAGGATGGGTCTCTCGTTTATTAATTGCTGGTGGTTATCGACAGCGCAGTCATTTTCAGGTCCGAGTCCTGCGGGACTCATGACCACATTTTACTGTCTCAGATTCGAGACTACCCTAACTTGGAAGGCCAGGTCCCGATACTTATATCCCCAAGGAACAGAGTGGCCTGGTTATAACCCAAGCACTGGGTTCCCTTTTCCTCGCCTCCTACGACTCGCAGGACTACGGTGGAGGTGTTCGACCCCGCCTCCACACAGGTGTCCCAACAACTGAACTATTAGTCCTCGTTATATCCCCAGCACGGGCTACACAGAAAACGTCTCTTTTATTATTGCGTGTTCTCTCGTTGCCGGGGAAACATTTTGTCCACAGAGCTGTTTCCTAGCAACGACTGTTGTACTGCTGCCTGTTTACACTGCTATTACTTAGCAATGGGACTACATGTCACAGCATGTAGGGCATTTCCTTGGTCTTCTGTAACCTCCAGTCTCTACTTGCAAGGCTACGCAACTAAATAGTACAGCGAGACGTGAAAATACTCCATCAGGGATTCAGTGCCCTGATTGCAGCCTCAATTGTTCATTATTGTCTTCTGTTTCTTGTACAGTTGGAAGGCTCATAACATCTCCAGTGTGGTCCAGATCTCTGCTGGATTCTTCCTAATTATTACAGAGCTTTGCCTGTGGTTTTCTGGCTACGTGTGCTTACGTAATTATGGAAAACATGTTGCTCTTATATAAGGCTATTTATGCCTTCATATACATGTGTATATAAATGCTGCGTACGTGTACTGTTATTTTGAAAGTTATTAGTTCAATGTAGGTAATATAAGTATTCAATTTATAATAATCTATTAATACCTAAGTATTAAAATATAAGGACATAGTAGAGATGAGGGCCGGTCACGGTAGCCGAGCTGTCTAAGGCATGCACTGTCTTCGCTCGCTTGGAAGCCGGGATCGTGGGTTCGAATCCCACTCAGGGCATGGATGTTTGTGTGCGTTTTTCTGTGTTTGTGTACAGGTAGAGTCCTTGCGACGAGCTGATCACTCGCCCAAGGAGTCCTGCCGAATGTGTAAGATCTAGAAAAAACCGAAGTGAACGGAGTTCATGGATGTAGGCCTAGGCCCACTGGGGCTGTAGTGCCAAGGAAAAGAAAAGTAGAGATGAGGGCGTAAATATTTTGTATGTGTTATACATGAATATTTTCACGTGTAGAGTGGTACGCGTGACGAAAATAACGGGTTCTATATCGGATGATTGGATTTATTGGCACTTCTGTTACAAGTTCTCTTAATTAGACTTAATTATAGCGCTATCGCTATTCTACAGACTTTCAGTTCACCGTTGTACATGCATTAGGGTTCTCCGTCTTCATTAGTCGTCTCCTGGCAACGGATCTCAACACAGAAACTATCACTTCAAATCACTATGAAGAATTCTTTGACCCAGTTCTCCAATGCTAATTCTCTTTCTCTCTCTCAAATTCGCTGTACGACTTGAATCCCCAGGTCCGAATTCTCAACTGCCTTGTAGCGCCAAATGTCTTCAAGATATCTCATCGGCACGGATCACGCAGAGGAAACATATGTCACATTGTCGCTATGCAGCCAGTCCATTGGCGCGCTGGCTGAACCTACAGGAAACACACATGACCGCTACGGACTGTTGTGTCACGTCACCACCTATGCGGAATTGTGTTGACCGAGCCGTTGCGTAGAAACGGGTTGTATATCCGTATTGTTCTCTTGATGAGTGCATGTATTACTTAGCAACTGCTGTTTCTGTGTCTCAGCCGTTCTTTCATGGCGTAAATACGCCACAATAATGCATCATTGGTAGTAGTTATGAACAGGACCAAAACGGGATAGTAAAAGCGGCGATGAGGTGTCCTTCTGATTCAGTCGGTATTGCAGTCTGGACCTACGCCAATATAAGTCACATAGATGTGTGTGTATTCAGTGATACCGCGCATTAAATATACTTCTCAATGGATATAACGTGTAAGAGTTCAACAACTGAATTTTTATCTGAGGAAACCGTGAATAGGGATGGGAATTGTCAAATTTACCCTCTGAATTTTCGACTGATATTTCACAAAATTATAAAGGAAGAGATCGATTTGTGTAAGCAAGTTATTTTTTCTTAACACGGAAATGATTAAGTGCATTTTTGACACATATTCAAATAAAGAAGGTAAAGTTGTCCCTGTGATAAACTAATTAAGCAAAACGCCATGAGAACGTATGGGAGAGTGGCTGTATAGATCCACATTTTCTTAACCTCAGCACTAGCTGAAGGTGAATTGTCAGCTTCACGCTCTGGCCGCTTTATCCCCGGGGAAAAAAGCCCCCGGTACCCATTGGATAGGAGGTTGGGTGGACGACAAGAGAAAATTCTTGACCCTACCGGGACTCGAACTCCGACACCCCGGTCGTTCAGCCCGTAGCCAGTGGCTATACCGACTACGCTATCCCGGCTCCTAACTCATATTCACATACAAAGTAAAAGTTTATGAAATGAATAGTAGTTTATTTACTGCATATTTTCAGATTCTTTTTAATTTGGGGGCCCAACTGGGGTGAATACAGCCCCCCGTTGTCTCTGTCAATACTCACACCGGGGGAGAGTGAGGCACAGCTCCACGCCAATAGAGCGGTTCCCATACTACAACTTTAATTTTCTGACTTCGCCGTATGCTCTGGAGAGTTATTTCCTCTACCCTTTGTTAAACACAAATTATCTGATCTCTAGCGGAGCTTTCACGAGTTTAGGACTAAAAACAAGCGCGTGGTAAAATCAGAAGTTGGCGTTCGCCAGTAGTTTTATGCTGCAAATATATTCTCTTCCATATAATTGAATAATAATTACATTTATCATGAAGTATATTATCTTCTGGGATGCAACACCCTATCATCTGAACTATATTTACCGAAAAGTCGGAAAAAATATTCTGCCTCCATCTTCAGGGTAAAAGATTCTCTCGTGGAGCATGTCTACTATTCAAAGAACACGAAATCACAGATACTGAATTTCCAAACTCCATTACACACCACAAAAATGTGATGGATATTTATTACCCTAATGTGTAGGCAGAGGAGTCATTACGAATCTTGAGAAAGTAATTCCATCATAAAATGATATATCCTTTGAGTATAGGGTTCTTTTTCATGTGACTTATATCCGGGTATCGGATTGGATGATTGGTTTTATTGCACCTTATACATTTCACAGGGGGGCACGCGGTAGAGAAGTTGGTTGAGGCACTATGCTACAAACCGGAAGGTCGCGGGTCCGAGTCCCGATGAGGTGGACTCTTTGCAATTGACCGAATCCTTTCACTCGCACTATGGCTGTGGGTTCGACTCAGAACATAAATGAGTACCAGGAATCTTCCTGGGGGTACAGGGTGGCCGGCACGTAAGGCTGACAACCTTACCGCCATATGTGAGCCGATTATCTAGATAATATGGGACCCTCAGCGTCTCACAAATCTATGGGCCTCCACGGCCTGGCACAAAGATACATTTACAGAAAGTCGGAACTGCAGTCAATACAGCACTATCGCTGATCAACACACTTTACAGTTCACCGTTGCACACTTGCTAGGATTCTCAGTCTTCACTAGTCATATCCTGAAAACGGATTTACAACAGTCTCGCTGTAATTTGAAATCGCATATGAAGTCTTCTTGTCACAGTGTAATTTCATTCCTGTCATTTCTTCTCAGTCATCTTAAACTGCCATCTCCAGAATTCGACAACTCTCTTAAATGAATTTTTCTTCAACTGAACTCTCTCAACTTCTGATAGTAACTAACTTCTCCCTAGGAACTTTTAATTATGTAGCCTCGGAGCGGACCCCACGGTAAACTCTGTCTTCTGTTGTCCAGTATTGTTTCAGGCGTGTTTAATTATCCGTTGTCTAGCAATAGACGTCCTATTTTTGCGCACGTTAGCTCAAGCGGAAATGTGTTTACCGAGTCATTGCCTAGCAGTAGGTATACATGTCAATATATATGTACATATGTATACACACACACACACACACACACACATACAGAGTAGTCAACAAGTGAGTTAACGTAAATAATTTTCTCACATTAAAGGGAATGTTCACATTTAAACCTATCAGTCAGTTTGTAGAAGTGTATCACAGCGTTGTAAGTTGTGCATTGAACATATAAGTTATCATAATGTTGAGTCTTAGTATCCTGTTGCAGTTGGTACTAGAATTTATTTTACAGTTTTCTACCGCCCACCATGCAAAAATATCAAGATTTAAAATTCTTAACTGCACTACATGTTTCGATGTAGGATCTTATTTCGAAAAAATTTTGTAAATTCAGCAAGCAATATGGAAATTTCTAATGTGTCTTACTGTACATTCTAATGAAGAGTTAACTGGTTTGGGGGCCATTCTGTATGTATGTGTGATTTGTATACGTCACCTGATGACGACCGTATACTGTCGAAACACGTGGCGATTAATAAGAAATATACAACAACAAATATTTTCAAATGCAAGTTTGTGTGACGGGCTCTCTTACTATATAGAAGTACGTGCAGCGAACATGCAGTTCTATAAGAAATGAAGATAGCGCTCAGAAAGCTGTAGTAGATTTGTCTTACCTTTCTTGGCTGTTGTCAGATCCGATTCGTTGTCTGGATCTGGAACAATTGTACACCCCGCGACGACGTGATGCCCACCTCCAGGACTGACGCTCGCTGCCGGCTGAAGCGCCGCCGTCGAGAACGGAGAGCCTCCTGTCGTCGGATACCTGGAGAAGCAGACTGTGAGTCACTGTTCCGTATGGCGTCGTTAGGTACGACCTAACGTTGAAACTTAATTTCAGCTTTCTGAATATAATGTGTACGCAACTTTAGTGCGGAATAAACTTGGAGAACGATGATTTAGATGATCTTGAAATAAAAGGTGAGTAGGACTTCTACAAGGTCATATCCAGAAGGATATTTGGTAGCAAAAAGGTAAAGCTATCGCTGTAACAGACCGTGGAGGTCCTAAGGGTTTTGAGACGTCGAGACTCACACGTTTTTCTAGATAATCACAGATGGCAGTAAGGCTGTCAGACTTACGCGCCGGCCGCCCTTTACCCCCCCAGGAAGATTAGGATTAGGCAAATTGAAAATTCCAGTGATCTCATTGGGAATCGAACCCACGACCGTTCGGCTTGTAGCATAGTCACTTAACCGACTACGCTACCACGTTAGGCCGAGATTTGATAGTAGAGATGTTTAAATGTCGTGTTCTGTAAACAGAATGTATATACATTTAGTGCTAACTTTCAGGCTATTGGGCTTGCGCAGGTATTTAATCGGACTAATCACAACTATTTTATTTATTTCACTTATTTCCGATTTACTTATTAACACTTTTAATTGATAACTAGATCTATATAAGGCCGAATGATAGGATAATGAGTGAATGATTCATTGTATTCGATATGGAAGGAAGTGGTCGTGGATCAGTTCAATGTATTGAATTTGTCCGGAGACTCTGAGTAAAATTACGAAATATTCGGGACCTCTCAAACATGCAGGTCTGCATCTCTCTTCTGAATTTGTCTAGACAGATTGAGACACTAACTCCATGGAGCTGAGCCCTTCTTGAGAAGCCGCCATTTGCGAAGTTACTCAAGAATTTCCCAACATTTTATGGAATCCGAAAGTTCATTACACTGTTCAAAAGAGTCCTCTACTGGTCCCTATCCAGACCCAGATAAGTCTAGCTCATAGAACCCCATCCTATCGCTCTAAGATCCTTTTTAATATTATCTTATCACCTACGTCTAGGTCTTCCTTTCCTTCTGGCTTTCTCACCAATATCCTATATGCAGTCCTCTTCTCCCCAATCCGTGCTACATGCCCTGATCATCTCATCCTACTTGACTTGATCATTCTAATTATACGAGTACTTGGAGAAGGGTACAAGTTTTGAAGCTCTTCATTGTGCAGTTCCTCCAACCTCCTGTCACTTTACCTCTCTTCGGTCCGAATAATCTTCTCAACACCCTGTTCTCGAACACCCTCACTCTGTGTTCCTCCCTTAATATCAGAGACCAAGTTTCACACCCATACAGAACCACAGGCAAAATTACAGTTTTGTATATTCTAACTTTTACGTTTTTAGGCAGCAGACGGGAAGACAAAACGTTCTGGACTGATTGATAGTAAGCATTACCCGAATTAAATCTCCTCTAAATTTCCCCATGAATCGCATATTGATTTCTTGCTATAGTTACAAAATACGAGACCGAGGAAAATCATAAAAACTTAACCCCGATAGTCGATCTCCAGACCGATATTTGATCAGAGGATCTCTCGATCGGACCAGGTTTATGCCTCTCTACTATACTGAATGTGTCTGGAGAGTGTGAGTAAAATCATGGAAAACGTGGGTCAGGATAGCCGGTCCCCAGGCCGTCTCGCTACAATTTGCAGTGGAACTGACCAGGGGTTGGGTCGGGGCCAGCCCGCTTGCCCGTTCAGGATCCTCAGCTTGTCGTACACCGACTCTGCCGGCGACGGGATTGGAGGCGACTGCGTCTGTTGCTCCTTCTGGGACGCCAGGTTTCGTAGTACTCGATTGATAGAAGACACCTGCGGAAAAGAAGAGTACACAGTCGCACTCAGCTTGTGTTCTTCGCCTACACGTAATGCACTAATTCAGAAAGGAGGGCTCTACACTTTTGTTTCTAGGTCTTATCAAATTTGTGGACACACACAGACCAAAAATGCCATTATAATAACGTTTAAATTTGTACTTTCAACAATGTACGCGGTAGCATAGTTGGTTGAGACACTATGCTACAAATCGGAAGGTCGCGGGTTCTATTCCCAATGAGGAACATTAGATTTTTCTTGTTACCCAATCCAGCCGCACTATGACCATGTGGTCGACTCAGCCTCTGACAGAAATGAATAACAGGAATCTTTCTGGGGGATAAAGGGCAGCCGGCGCGTAAGGCTGACAAATTCACCGTCATCTGTCGGCCGATTTTCTATAAAATATGGGAGCCTCGACGTCTCACCACACCATGGGCCTCCATGGCCTGTTACAGGAATAACTTTACCTTAATTAATTATAGCTATGGGGGAGCAGAGGTATTGCTCCAACATTCTTAACCTTGGCACTGAATGGAAGTGAGAAGTCAACGCATTGGTCGCTTTGCTCCCCTGGGCAACAGCTCCCGATGACCACTGGGGAGGAGGCTTGGTGGGCGTCACAGTTGTTCTGGGTGTTACGGACAAGATTAAAAATCTCTTGACCCTACGGGGAATCTAACCGCAACTCCTCGATCATCCAGTGCGTAGGTTAGCCGCTATACCGACTGAGCAATCCGGCTTCTTCCCAGACGATATTACTCGGCATTTAATGAAGTTAATTTGTAAATTAGGGAAGACATCGTGGGACTGGGAAGAGTTAATCCCCAGTAGAAGGATTCATTCATGTCCCATTATTACTTTCTGTTTCCGAAGATTCGTCATCTGGCTTATATTTATATTATTTTCTTGGCAAGGCAGAGTCGTCTATCCTGGTGTCACGTGGCGATGCTATGCAGGGTGAACAATACAGTCCCCCTTCTTTTCTCCACCCCCTTCGGCGCATAAGAGCACCCCCGGGGTGCTACTTCCACTATTGGCACTCTATTCATCGTCCTTGCATCTTTGAACCGCCCTGCGCCAGACCGCCGTCCCCTTGCAAACTGCACTTCTTCTTTTCTTTCGAAGCTTTTTATGCTTTTGATAATTTTTTGCGCTGCTTTCCATCGTCTTCTTGCCATTTATATATCGGAAAGAAATGAATGGTTTATATTATGTGCCTGAAGTCCTTAGTATCATGGAGTGTAAACCGTGAAGGAGATTTGACAGAAGGCACTAAAATATTGGCCCCTTCAATAACCCATGAGTCCCAGAGCCCTTTTAGTCATCATGTACATGATGCTCAAATTGTTCTGTTAGACTGCACAATCACAGTTTTTTCTTTTTGCGACACGAAATAAGATGCAACGAGTTCGCTGTTGTAGCGTTAACGCGTTCCTTATCTCGTTGAAATTTTGATCAGACTACCGGATATCATGAGTTTTCTTTTATGTGATTTTACTCGCTCTGTCCGTCTTAATATTTGGAACATCTTAAAATCTGCCACGACAACCTCCTTCTAAAACCTAACCTCTTCAGTATCCTTGGTCACCTTACCACCTCATTTCGAGCCATGTAAATTATGCAGTTGCAACAGCTTTTTAAATGACCCAAGAGTCATCAAGGTATAAAGACTAGATAATTTTAACCTTGTCATGGCAGGATGGGGGAGCACGCCGTAGCGCATTTGATTGAGGCACTATGCTACAAGCCGGAAGGTCGCGGGATCGAATCCCGATGAGGTGGATTTTTTCAATTTACCAAATCCTTCCAGCCGCACTATGGCCCTGGGGTCGAATCAGCCTCTAAGCGAAATGCGTACCAAGAATATTCTTGGGGGTAAAGTGCGGCCGGCGCATAGGGCTGGCAAACTTTCTGCCATCTATAAGCCGATTTTCTAGAAAATATGGGAACGTCAACATCTCACACCCTTATGGGCCTCCACGGCCTGTTGCAGGGATACCTTTACTTACTTACTTACTCATAGCACTCAGTTGGGTTCATCAAATAAATCTCTGTACACACATATGTACTTGTTTGATGGGAAATGAGTGCTTCAGAGGCTTTTGTGATATTCAGTTCCAGTAGCATATAACTAACGCCATGGAGCCGAATCCTTGAGAAGCAGCCAGTCGCTCAGCTATTCAAGAATTTACCGATATTTTATGTAACATGAATGTTCATTATTGTGTTCACAAGAGCCCACCACTGGTCCCTATCCTGAACTAAAATAATCCAACACATAACACCCCATTCTATTCTTCTAAGATCCATTTTAATATTGTTCTTATACCTACGACAGCCGGGATAGCACAGTCGGTATAGCGACTGGCTGGATGACCGAAGGATCAGATTTCGAGTCCCGATAAATTCAATAAATTTCTTTTCTCCACGTCGTCCAAATTGGCTCGGGGCACGAACTATTCAATGAGTACCAGGACCTTTTTTCCCGGAGGTAAAGTGACGGGAATGTGAAGCTGATCATTTAACTCTATCTAGCGCCGAGGTCAAGAATTGTGGAGCTATAACTCCACTCCCCATGTCTTCATCGCATGGTGCTTAATTAATTAATTAAGCATAGGGATAATCTCACCTTTACCTTTTTGCCTTAAGTCTAACGATTTTCGTTACAATTAGAAGAGAATGGAGCAGAATTACTGGAAGTGTTAGGCTATCGGTATTACATGTTTCCCAGTTCGATAAATCCTGCCTATCTTCCCGCTGCAGACTTCGGGTAATATTAGGCAGCAAAGTAGTGCGACTCGACAGGAGTTGGTATGCTGGTCTTTAAACACCGTTCTCAGTACCCGGAGGTCTTCAACGTTGACAAGACTTGGATCTTTGACGGTCAAAGTGGCATAACAATGAGACTGTGCTTTCACAAACATGAGTGACGTATATTTATAGCTTCTTGTATGACACAAATAGAATTTAGATTTTAAGAGGGTTGTATATTATGTCCATTTGTTCGATTCTAAATATTAGAGCATTTGCGATAAAGACTTCAATGCTTCATGTTCTCATGCAGCAGCAATATTAAATTGAATGAAAAAGGAACAGATATATTTTATTTTATAGGATATACTTTGTGAAACATAGACAAATGCATACATAAGCTCTTGAATTAGTTTAAACTCATCATTGCCCCGACGTGTTTCGACGTTTAAAGTACAAATTTAGTAAGAGATTAGCTTAATGTTGCTTCCCCTGGCTCTGTACAAGTAAAGTAAATTTGATCTAAAAGTTTGTGATGATGGTAAATTGTTACAATTAATATTTTGCTGGACATTATCCATCATCTTGTCTATTCTAAAAAACAGTCTAATTTCTATTAAAAATATTTTAAAAATTTTTAAAATTTTTAAATTTTAAAAATATTTAAAATATTTTTAATAGAAATTAGACTGTTTTTTAGAATAGACAAGATGATGGATAATGTCCAGCAAAATATTAATTGTAAAGTAAATTTGTTTCTGTGCTTAATTAATTAGGCACCAAGCCATGAAGACATTTGGGGGAGTGAAGATACTCGTATTGCTACGCTAACTTGACCTCTGCATTGGAGGGAAGTGAGTGATCAGCTTCACGCCCCTGTTGCTTTACCCTCAGAGAAACAGCCCCTCCGTATCCATGGGAGATTGAGGGGCCCCAAAGCCTGTATGAACATTATAGAGAAGAGAAATTTCTTGCCTCTGCGGGAACCTAACCCCTGCCTTCCAACCCGTAGCCCATTGCTATACCGTCGGAACGGCGCTTCCATGATTGTCGATAAATTTTGAAAATTTAAAATAATGTTATATTTGTCATAAAACATTCTTACATATAAAACGTTACAATCAACGCACATTAAAATTAATGTGTATAAATTTAAAAGAATTAAGTACAATCATGGAAAAACCTTAAAGTAATTTCCTTTTATTGCTAAGTATATATCCCTGAGGATAACATTGTAAATGTCGAAACATGTTGTGACAATGATGGATTGTTAGTTGAAAATCTGGAGGGAAAATATTTTTTTTTTGGACTCAGCAAGATGACTCAGGCTGTATTGCTTTTAAGTTTTATTACGTATGCGTCCTTTCCTAATTTTTTCCTCAACACCGACTGTTTTGTCTGAGGATTTTTGTGGTTTCCTGAAATCCTTCCAAGCAACTTCTGCGGTAATATACCTCAGAGGGCCACTAAAATTTTCTTTCAAATCCTTTCGAATTCGTGTTTACCTTCCATGCTACTATTTACACTACATAGTCTAATACAAATATAAAAAAGACAATGTGAGGTAAAGGTAAAGCTATCCTTGTAACAGGCCGTGGAGGGCCATGGGGTTGTGAGACGTCGAGGCTTCCATATTTTCTAGACATTCAGCTCATTGATGGCAGCGAAGTTGTCAGCNCCCGCCCACCGAGAAATTCCGGGTACTCATTACTCTTAGAGGTCGAGTCGACCCCAGGGCCATAGTGTGGCTGGAAGTGTTAGGTAAATTTAAAAATCCAATGACCTCATCGGGAATTGAACCCGCGACCTTCCAGCTTGCATCGCAGTGCCTCAACCAGCTACGCTACCGCGTACCCCCGTAAAATTGTCTACAAAAAATTCCATAATCAGCGCTTTGAACCACGAGAGAAATTGCGACACAGCGTTCCATAAACGGGATGCATGCAGAACAGAGTGCGTTTGGGGCAGTTCCTGTGTGAATGGAGTTCACGCTCTTGTACCAGAATTACACGTTCGCTTTCATCAAACACCTTATTTATAGGCCGCATAGTACGCGGTTTCAAATAAAAATGGGTGCTTTTGATGAAAACATCAGTTCTGCTTGCTTGGTTCTCTAGTGAAAAAAGTGCACCCGTATGGTAATGAGGCAAGGGGAGTGGAGAACCCGTGCCGCACTGTGTGTTGCGCACCCTCAGACACTTGCATTGCTAATCGGTCTCTGGCGCCCCGTATACCCCGACTTG